GCAGTTATATACAAAACAGCCTGGGACTGGTACAAAAAACAGATAAGTAGACTAATGGAACAGAACAGAAATGCCAGAAATCAACCCAAGCATCTACAACCAACTTATCTTTGACAAAAGAACTAAAATCAATCCCTGGAGCAAGGACAGTCTATTCACCAAATGGTGCTGGGAAAACTGGATCTCCACATGCAGAAGTGTGAACCACACCCCTACCTCACACCTTACACAAAAATCCACTCAACATGGATCAAAGACCTAAATCTAAGACCTGATATCATCAAATTATTAGAGAACATCAGGGAAACCCCTTAAGACATTGGCATAGACAAAGAGTTCTTGGAGGGGCTGGTACCATGGCGCAGTAGGTTAATCCTCTGCCTGCGGCGCTGGCATCCCATATGGGCGCCAGTTCTAGTCCTGGTTGCTCCTTTTCCAATCCAGCTCTCTGCTGTGGCCGGGAGGGCAGTAGAAGATGGCCCAAGTCCTTGGGCCCCTGCACCCACATGGGAGACCTGGAAGAAGCTCCTGGCTCCTGGCTTCAGATTGGCATAGATCCGGCAGTTGCGGCCATTTGGGGAGTGAACCAATAGAAGGAAGACCTTTCTCTCTGTCTCTCCCTCTCACTGTCTGTAACTCTACCTCTCAAATAAATAAAGAAAATCTTTTAAAAAAAAAAAAGATTCTTGGAAAAGACCCCAGAGGCACAGGCAATCAAAGCCAAAATCGACAAATGGGATCACATCAATTTGAGAAGATTCTGCACTGCAAAAGAAACAAACAGCAAGGTGAAGAGACAACCAGCAGAATGGGAGAAAATATTTGCAAACTATACAACTGATAAAGGATTAATAACCAGAATATATAGAGATCAAGAAACTCAATAAAAACAAAACAAACAACCCAGTTAAGAGATGGGCAAAGGACTTAAACAGACATTTTTCAAAAAGAGGAAATCCAAATGGCAAACAGACACATGAAAAAATGCTCAGGATCACTAGCTGTCAAGGAAATGCAAATTAAAACCACAATGAGGTCACCTCATTCCAGTTAGAATGTCTTTCATACAGAAATCAACAAACAACAAATGCTGGCGAGGATGTGGGGGAAAAGGTGCCCTAATCCACTATTGGTATGACTGTAAACTGGTACAGCCACTGTGTGTCGCTCCCCCTCTTCGTGGAGGAGCAACACAGAGTCCTGCCTAGGCTTCATATCCGAGTCACGGCACCATTATGTCGCTCCCCCTCTTCGTGGAGGAACGACACTAAACCCTGCCTAGGCTTCATATCCGAGTCACGGCACCATTATGTCGCTCCCCGTCTTCGTGGGGGAACGACACAGGACCCTGCGCTGTTCTTTCGTCTGCTCGGCCCTCCCCGGGTTTGCTGCTGGTTCTTCCCGGGTTGGCTACTATCCCTTCCACCTCCGTGGAAGGGCAGTTCCCCCTGGCCACATTCCCCACTTCCGCAGGGGAGCGGCACACCGCCGGCCGGCTCTTCTCGGGGGCTGCACAGGTGTTCCTTCAGCTAGATGTTCCCCTTAGATGTTCCTCATAGATGTTCCCTGTGCATGCCGTCTCTCTCCTCCTTTATAGTCCTCCTCTGCCAATCCTAACTCGGCTGCCCACACGCCGAGTACGCTGCTCTCCTCCAATCAGGAGCAAGTCCTACAGTTTATTGGTTGAACTGGAGGCAGCTGCGTAGAAGCTGTTTTCTCCTCTCCCAGCGCCATATTGTGGGAGAGCAGATGCATAGAATAAGTCTTAATTCCAGTAACTCAGTCTAGTCCGGGTTGCTCCCCACAACTGTGGAAGACAGTATGGTGATGTATGGTGATTCTTCAGAAGTCTAAATATAGACCTACCATATGACTCAGCCAAACCACTCCAGGGAATCCACCCAAGGGAAATTAAATCAGCATATAAAAGAGCTATCTATACCCCCATGTTTATCGCAGCTCAATTCACAATAGCAAAGACTTGGAATCAACCCAAATGCCCATCAACTGAAGACTGGATAAAGAAATCATGGGATATGAACACCATGGAATACTACACAGCAGTAAATAAAGAATAAAATAAATTTTAAAAATCCAGTCGTTTGCACCACAATGGATGAATCTAGAAAACATCATACTTAGTGAAATAGCCAGTCCCAAACGGACAAATTCTACATGTTCTCCCTGACCTGTGATAACTGACAGAGCACCTAAAAGCAATCTATAATAGTGAAATTGACACTTTGAAAAGCAATGACTTTAAACAGCCCTTGTCTTGACTACTGAAGAACAGGGTTTTTTTTATTTTTTTATTTTTTTATTTTTTTCCTTTATCATATCTTCCTTATCTTTTTTCTTTCATATTAATTGCTGAACTCTTTACTTAGCACAGAGTTAACCAGATATGAATGAAGTTAATTGAAACTAGATCTTAGTAAAAAAAAATAAGAGAAAAAGAAAGGGAAGGGGAAGGGGGTAGGAATGGAGGTGGGAAGGTGGGCACAGTGGGAAAAATTACCAAGATCCTAAAGTTGTAATTGTGAGAAGTATGAAGTTTGTAACCACAAAGCCATATAGTTTTGCATACCTTCCTATGGACTTACTTCTAAGGGCACAGTTTAAAAACTCACCATGGGACCTGAATTTCCCTTAAGCTGGCTGGTAAAAATAGCAGTTTAAGTGTTATAGAGATCAAATGGATAGGATTAAATGTTAAATTGATCATATAGATAGGATCAAGTGCTAAAGTGATCATATAAATAGGATTAAATGTTTGGAATAATAATAGAATTAAAAAGGAGTGAATGCTCCAACATGGGAAGCAGTCCACACAGCAGACTCATAGAATGACAATCACTTTAAGTAGCACTCTGACCTCAAAATCAGCCCTTAAGACTTTTGGATCTGACTGAAAAGCCCACAAGAGCATTTTAGGTATGGAAAGCCAAGACGCTGTGGCAAAAATTGTCCTACATGAAGGATCTCTGTGAGATCCCAGTGGAAAGAAGTGGCCATCAAAGAAGGAGGTACTTTTCTCTGAAGGGAGGAGAGAACTTCCACTTTGCATATGGCCTTGTCTAAATACTGACAGAATTTGTGTATCCAAAAAGCTTCCATAGCCTAGGCAGCTCAAGTCAAGAGTCTCGGGTGGTCACTGATGTCATGCATAAGAGTGTTAATTGTTAACAACAGGAGTCACTGTGCACTAACTTCCCATGCAGGACCTCTCTCCCCAAAGAGTTGTACCATGAGACTTAATAGTAAAACTTTCTCTCAAGAATCCCTTCATTTTAGTGTATTAAGTGGACAACATTCTTAAGTCTCATAAACTATAGTTAAAATTATGTTACAAAAGATGCATCATTCTTGGGTTCTTCTTTAAAGACAATTAAGTTTCTAAAAGGAAAGAAGGGAAAAGAGAAAGGGGGAAAAAGCAACCTCACCTTTGAGATACAATAACTGAATAGCCCTTGTCTGGACTCTGAGGAACAGGGGTTTTTTTTTTTCCTTCTTTTTCTTTTTCTTTCTCAGACTAAGCGTTGAAATGTTTACCTAGAATAGTGCTAATCCTCTGTATATAAACCTAACTGGGGGCCGGCACTGTGGAGCGCTGGGTTAATCCTCTGCCTGTGGCGCCGGCATCCCATGTGGGCACCGGTTCTAGTCTCGGATGCTCCACTTCCAGTCCAGCTCTCTGCTGTGGCCTGGGAAAGCAGTAGAAGATGGCTCAAATCCTTGGCCACTGCACCCACGTGGGAGACCAGGAAGAAGCACCTGGCTCCTGGCTTCCGATCGGCGCAGCTCCAGCCATTGCAGTCATTTGGAGAGTGAACGAATGGAAGGAAGACCCTTTCTCTCTGTCTCTGCCTCTCACTGTCTGTAACTCTAACTCTCAAATAAAATAAATAAAATCTTTCTTTAAAAAAATGCTAACTTGGCCAGTACTGCGGCTCACTAGGCTAATCCTCAGCCTGTGGTGCCGGCACCCCGGGTTCTAGTCCCAGCTGGGGCACCGGTTCTGTCCCAGTTGCTCCTTTTCCAGTCCAGCTCTCTGCTGTGGCCCGGGAAGGCAGTGGAGGATGGCCCAGGTCCTTGGGCCCTGCACCCACATGGGAGACCAGGAGAAGCACCTGGTTCCTGGCTTCAGATCGGCACAGCGCACCAGCCACAGCACCTCAGCTGTAGTGGCCACTTGGGGGGTGAACCAATGGAAAAAGGAAGACCTTTCTCTCTGTCTCTCTCTATCTCTCACTGTCCAACTGCCTGTCAAAAAAAAAAAGAAGAAAAAAGCTAACTGAAAATATGAAAATAGATCTTAGTGAAAAACAGAACAGGGAATAGGAAAGAGAAGTGGAAGAGGGGTGGGAGGGGGGTGGGAGGGCGGGTACAGTGGGAAGAATCAACACGTTCCTAATGTTGTATTTATGAGATGAATGCAAATTAATTACTTAATTAATTACTTCCCGCTGGAACCCATAGCGGGAAGCTGCCGGGAGGGAGCAGCACAGCCCTCAGGTCCTGCCTGGACTTCAGACTTCCGGCCTCCGAAAGAGAAAACAAAGACATTTATGGTGTCTGTGACCAAGGTCAAGATCTCTTCATGCATGTTAAGGGCAAGCAGGTGTTCGTCAGTCTCGGTCCCGATCCACCAGCAGACGTTTGCCTGTGGCGTGTGCTACGCTCCTTAAAATGAGCTTGCTGTCCTCGGGGGTCTAACGCAGAGGAGCCTGGTCACCTAGCGACCCTCGCTGGGCACCGGCATCGTCGGCGTGGAATTCAAAGAAATGCAGGCAGCTCAGCTTCCGCGTGGTAGGCTCCACGCGTCTCTCTGAGGTCATTAACAACCGAAGGAATGAGTGAATGATCACTAGAAGACCTAATCTTTCTCACCTCACATCCTACCACGCAGGAGTCTCAGAACACCACCCCTGTCCAGTGAGACCCTGCCTGCCAGGCAGCAGCACCACACCGCCCACGAGGGAAGGCCAGGGAGCACTCACGTGGCGGTCCTCGGCGCCACAGGCCACGAATCGCCCACAAGGGCTGAAAGCAACGCCACAGGGATAGCAGCGGTCGGGGTGCCCTTCAAAGCGGCGCTCACACCTGCAGGGACAGAAGCACCTGAGAAGACAGCCCTGGAGCTGCGTACGGACTGGAGAAAAGACAGGAACAAACACACATGTGCGAATTATTATATGTAAATCAGTTATGATGGAATCTCTAAAAATGCTTCATGGTTCAAAACCACAAATTCCCAGTGATGGCAAAACTAACAGTAAATGAGTGTTTTGTAATGAGAAATATTAATTGATAATACATCCTGGAGATTTTTTTAAATTACAAAAACAAGTCTTCTAAAATCATAAATTATTTAGATAAATAATTCAAAGACGGTGAAACAGTCTACTAACTAATCTTTCACAACCAACTATTCGTGAAATGCTATCTAAAATGTACTTACTGCAAAAAATATTGGGGAATTTGTGCTCTTTTATTGAGAGATTCTCCAGACCCTCTGGAGACAACCAGAGCCTTCCCAAGGATGCCTTTACCTGACAGCGCCTTGGCTGAGCGCCTCCGGCACTGGGCGGGCAGCACAGGCAGCACAGGTACCACAGGCAGCACAGGTACCACAGGTACCACAGGTACCACAGGCAGCACAGGTACTACAGGTACTACAGGTACCACAGGTACCACAGGTATCACAGGTACTACAGGTACCACAGGCAGCACAGGCAGCACAGGTACCACAGGTACCACAGGCAGCACAGGTACTACAGGCAGCACAGGCACCACAGGTACCACAGGTACCACAGGCAGCACAGGTACTACAGGCAGCACAGGCACCACAGGTACCACAGGTACCACAGGCAGCACAGGTACCACAGGCAGCACAGGTACTACAGGTACCACAGGCAGCACAGGCAGCACAGGCAGCACAGGTACCACAGGCACCACAGGTACCACAGGTACCACAGGCAGCACAGGCAGCACAGGTACCACAGGTACCACAGGCAGCACAGGTACCACAGGCAGCACAGGTACCACAGGCAGCACAGGCAGCACAGGTACCACAGGTACCACAGGTAGCACAGGCAGCACAGGTACCACAGGTACCACAGGTACCACAGGCAGCACAGGCACCACAGGCAGCACAGGTACCACAGGCAGCACAGGCAGCACAGGCAGCACAGGCAGCACAGGTACCACAGGTACCACAGGCAGCACAGGTACCACAGGTACCACAGGCAGCACAGGCAGCACAGGCAGCACAGGTACCACAGGCAGCACAGGCAGCACAGGTACCACAAGTACCACAGGTACCACAGGCACCACAGGTACCACAGGTACCACAGGCAGCACAGGCACCACAGGCAGCACAGGCAGCACAGGCAGCACAGGTACCACAAGTACCACAGGCACCACAGGTACCACAGGTACCACAGGCAGCACAGGCAGCACAGGTACCACAGGCAGCACAGGTACCACAGGCAGCACAGGCAGCACAGGCAGCACAGGTACCACAGGCAGCACAGGCAGCACAGGCAGCACAGGTACCACAAGTACCACAGGTACCACAGGCACCACAGGTACCACAGGTACCACAGGCAGCACAGGCAGCACAGGCAGCACAGGCAGCACAGGTACCACAGGTACCACAGGCAGCACAGGTACCACAGGCAGCACAGGCAGCACAGGCACCACAGGCAGCACAGGCACCACAGGTACCACAGGTACCACAGGCAGCACAGGCAGCACAGGTACCACAGGCAGCACAGGTACCACAGGCAGCACAGGCAGCACAGGCAGCACAGGCACCACAGGTACCACAGGCACCACAGGTACCACAGGCAGCACAGGCACCACAGGTACCACAGGCAGCACAGGCACCACAGGCACCACAGGTACCACAGGTACCACAGGTACCACAGGCAGCACAGGTACCACAGGCAGCACAGGCAGCACAGGCACCACAGTACCACAGGCAGCACAGGTACCACAGGTACCACAGGTACCACAGGCAGCACAGGCAGCACAGGCACCACAGGTACCACAGGTACCACAGGCAGCACAGGCAGCACAGGCAGCACAGGTACCACAGGTACTACAGGCAGCACAGGCAGCACAGGCACCACAGGCACCACAGGTACCACAGGTACCACAGGTACCACAGGCAGCACAGGCACCACAGGCAGCACAGGTACCACAGGCAGCACAGGCAGCACAGGCAGCACAGGCACCACAGGCACCACAGGTACCACAGGTACCACAGGCAGCACAGGCAGCACAGGCACCACAGGCAGCACAGGTACCACAGGCAGCACAGGCAGCACAGGCAGCACAGGTACCACAGGTACCACAGGTACCACAGGCAGCACAGGTACCACAGGTACCACAGGCAGCACAGGCACCACAGGCAGCACAGGTACCACAGGCAGCACAGGCAGCACAGGCAGCACAGGTACCACAGGCAGCACAGGCAGCACAGGCAGCACAGGCAGCACAGGTACCACAGGTACCACAGGCAGCACAGGCAGCACAGGCACCACAGGCAGCACAGGCACCACAGGCAGCACAGGTACCACAGGCAGCACAGGCAGCACAGGCAGCACAGGTACCACAAGTACCACAGGTACCACAGGCACCACAGGTACCACAGGTACCACAGGCAGCACAGGCACCACAGGCAGCACAGGCAGCACAGGCAGCACAGGTACCACAAGTACCACAGGTACCACAGGCACCACAGGTACCACAGGTACCACAGGCAGCACAGGCAGCACAGGTACCACAGGCAGCACAGGTACCACAGGCAGCACAGGTACCACAGGTACCACAGGCAGCACAGGTACCACAGGTACCACAGGCAGCACAGGCAGCACAGGTACCACAGGTACCACAGGCAGCACAGGCAGCACAGGTACCACAGGTACCACAGGCAGCACAGGTACCACAGGTACCACAGGCAGCACAGGCACCACAGGTACCACAGGTACCACAGGTACCACAGGTACCACAGGCAGCACAGGTACCACAGGCACCACAGGCAGCACAGGCAGCACAGGCAGCACAGGCATCACAGGTACCACAGGCAGCACAGGCAGCACAGGCACCACAGGTACCACGGGCAGCACAGGTACCACAGGCAGCACAGGTACCACAGGCAGCACAGGTACCACAGGCACCACAGGCACCACAGGCACCACAGGTACCACAGGTACCACAGGCAGCACAGGCAGCACAGGTACCACAGGCAGCACAGGTACCACAGGCAGCACAGGTACCACAGGTACCACAGGCAGCACAGGCAGCACAGGTACCACAGGTACCACAGGCACCACAGGCAGCACAGGTACCACAGGTACCACAGGCACCACAGGCAGCACAGGTACCACAGGCAGCACAGGTACCACAGGCAGCACAGGTACCACAGGCAGCACAGGCAGCACAGGTACCACAGGCAGCACAGGTACCACAGGCACCACAGGTACCACAGGTACCACAGGCAGCACAGGCAGCACAGGTACCACAGGCAGCACAGGACCACAGGTACCACAGGCAGCACAGGCAGCACAGGTACCACAGGTACCACAGGCACCACAGGCAGCACAGGTACCACAGGTACCACAGGCAGCACAGGCAGCACAGGTACCACAGGTACCACAGGCAGCACAGGTACCACAGGTACCACAGGCAGCACAGGTATCACAGGCACCACAGGCACCACAGGTACCACAGGTACCACAGGTACCACAGGCAGCACAGGTACCACAGGCAGCACAGGCAGCACAGGCAGCACAGGCAGCACAGGTACCACAGGCAGTACAGGTACCACAGTCACCACAGGTACCACAGGCAGCACAGGTACCACAGGTACCACAGGCAGCACAGGCAGCACAGGCAGCACAGGTACCACAGGCAGCACAGGTACCACAGGTATCACAGGTACCACGGGCAGCACAGGTACCACAGGCAGCACAGGTACCACAGGCACCACAGGCAGCACAGGCAGCACAGGCAGCACAGGTACCACAGGCAGCACAGGCAGCACAGGCAGCACAGGTACCACAGGTATCACAGGTACCACAGCTACCACGGGCACCACGCGCACCACAGGCACCACGGGCACCTACGTGGCCCTGAGCACTGGGCAAAGTCCCCACGCACACAGGGGCTGGGGCCAGGGCATTTCCAGCACTTCTGCTCATCCTGTCCTTGTGAATACAGGAACAGTCTTCAAAGCATTGTGTAAAATGTGCATTTTATATAAATTATGAAAACACTATACATGGTTTCAAAAATTTTCCACACCAAAATGAACTTAACTCTTCATCATATTTTCCACTAACTTTCTGAAGTGCCTTATACACAAATATGTTAGCAACATATTTTACTGTTACACACATTATATATTCAGTGACTGTGATAATATAATTATATGATTATTAGGAAACACACACATATATACAAAGGAGCTTTAAAAAGTTTGTGGCCAAATGGCATCACCTTTTAATTCCATTCTTCCATGAACTTTTTAAAAATACCCTCCGGTGTGTGTACGTGTGCAGTGAGACAGGGAATACGTTCTTTAACAGGATTCTATATACTCATAAAGCACAGTAACTTATATTAATTAACCTCGGTAAATCATTTTTTTTTTTTGACAGGCAGAGTTAGAGAGAGAGAGAGAGAGAGAGAGAGAAAGGTCTTCCTTCCATTGGTTCACCCCCCAAGTGGCCACTACAGCTGGGGTGCTGTGGCCGGTGCACTGCGCCAATCCGAAGCCAGGAGCCAGGTCTTCTCCTGGTCTCCCATGGGGTGCAGAGCCCAAGGACCTGGCCATCCTCTACTGCACTCCTGGGCTACAGCAGAGAGCTGGACTGGAAGAGGAGCAACTGGGACAGAATCCGGCGCCCCGACCGTGACTAGAACCTGGTGTGTCAGCGCCACAAGGCGGAGGATTAGCCTAGTGAGCCGCGGCACCAGCCTAACCTCAGTAAATCTAAGGAAATGCCCTCACAGTGGGTGTGACCAACACAATAGAAAACCAGATTCAGGGAGCTGCTCAGAGCCTGGTGTCTGGGTCAATGCAGACGGACAGCAACCAGCAGCCAATCACGTCTCAGGGAGCTGCACCTGAAGGCCACCCACCACCTCCCCACAGGCTCTGAGGCTCAGGAGCTGAGGCCAGTCATCCTCCAGAACAAAGACAGCACGCGACCTCCTATGCAGACTTGCAGGGTACCCGGCCCACGGGTAGACCACCCCTCGCTTGGCCCCGTGGACAGCCCCTCGCTTGGCCCCCGTGTAGACCACCCCTCACTTGGCCCCCATGGACAGCCCCTCGCTTGGCCCCCGTGTAGACCACCCCTCACTTGGCCCCCGTGTAGACTGCCACTCGCTTGGTCCACGTGGACAGCCCCTCGCTTGGCCCCCGTGTAGACCACCCCTCACTTGGCCCCCGTGGACAGCCCCTCGCTTGGCCCCCGTGTAGATCGCCCCTCACTTGGTCCATGTGGACAGCCCCTCGCTTGGTCCCCGTGTAGACCACTCCTCACTTGGCCCCCGTGGACAGCCCCTTGCTTGGCCCCCCTGTAGACCACTCCTCACTTGGCCCCCGTGGACAGCCCCTCACTTGGCCCCCGTGTAGATCGCCCCTCACTTGGTCCATGTGGACAGCCCCTCACTTGGTCCCCGTGTAGACCACTCCTCACTTGGCCCCCGTGGACAGCCCCTCACTTGGCCC